AGCAAATACAGCATTATTGAGAATTCACCAAATGCACAGTAAGACTATATGCAAACAGATTTCAAACAAAACGTGGTTGGTACTGAAGACACAAGATTACAGAATAAAACTTCTGAAAGGTAAGATGATATTATGCTAAGCGAACTCTTTACTGACTTGACATACATTTTCTTTCCTGGGCAGCAATAACTATACCCTGCAGCTCATTTGGGAGATAAATAAAGCCTGTAATTCCAGACTCACCAGCTCCCATAAATGCCAGTCAATTGTCATATTTGGACTATCTCATTTTATTATAAAATTTAGAGGATTTTAACAGAACAATAAGAAAGTGGGTTGTCTTTCTCAAGTTTCTGAGCCAGCACCTGCTGCCCACCAGTGGGCCCCTATTTGATATAATTACTGAGATATAAAGATTTTGCCTTTAAGCTTTCATGCAAATTCAGGCACACACAAAAAACAGTAGTATTGTCTTCTTGTACATTAGATTCTGAGAGTGAAGTGGGTCTCTTGAGCCCTATTTAATCCTTTTCTAAAAGAACAGACAATTTTGGGGAAGTAATTACTCTAAGCTGTGTCACTCTACAGGAAAAAAGATGTATATTTTGCTATGTGTGGAGGAGAATGACAGCAGATAGCACCCAAAACCAAATATAGTGTCTTGTAAATATATAAAGGAGAAAAATAATCCATAAACTTGAGAAATATTTTTCTATTCAGTACCTGAAAAATCCAGGGCAGCTTCACCTTTACAAATAAATATACACATTCGTAAACATATACATGTATATACTCTGTGTACAGGTATGTGTGTTTATACAGACATACACACCCACATAGATAATTTCTAATCTTTGAGGACTTCGCAGCTGGGGTGGAGGTAGGGTCTTTCCTGAAATTTTTAGAAACTGATGAATAATTTTTAGGCCATGAAGGATTTGATACTTACACCAGATAAACCCCTAAGGATATATCAAATCACACACACAATTCTGGGCATAGTCTGAAAAAAGGTAGATTTAACAAATAAGAATTAGTTAGGTCTTTTTCTCACTAAATGTGAAAGCACCAAGCTAGTCTTATTAATGTGTTTGATTAAGCTCTCTTATAGCTACAAATAAGACTGAAATAACTCTTTTTATTAGGAAGATACCAGTTGTTAGCAATGCAGTCAGTTGTTTCAAAGCGAAAAAAGATAATCGTAGTATCAAATGCCTAACTCCACTTTCTCAGTAAAATCTACATTCC